CATTAAATTGAGGACTTATTTGAGGAAAAATATTGTTTTGGGGCTTAATCGCAAACTTTTTAAAAGTTAAGGGACTAAAAAGAAAGGAAATTAGGATAAGGATCAAGGCTGATATTTCTCTCCTCAGCCACATGTTTTGCTCTTCCTCATCTTCTTCTTCTTCCTGACTCTTCCTCCCGACAACCCCCCCAAGCCCTTCTAGCCACCGACTCATTTTTGAGAAAATTGGTGACCAAGCTTGGGATTTTCTCCTTCTTTTCTTGTTCTTGAACCCAGAAATCCCCCCTCTCTGCTGGAAATTCCAGATCTGCTCTGCTCCTCCCCTGCAGCAGGCAAGAGCCCCAGCCATCGCCACCCATTTCCGGCCGGGAACACCGGCAAAGGTTGGGGATTTCTCCCTATTTTCTTGTTCTAGAACAGCCATTAAACCCAGAAATTCCAGATTTGTTCTACTCTGCGTCGTCCTCCCTTTGCTGTCCGCGAGTTCTGCTATGTGGGTTTGAGTTTCTGGGCATTTTTCGAGTAAGCCACAGCCATAAACTTCATCTTTTAGCTTGATTTAGGCTGGGTTTACCTTAATTGCTTTTATTCCTTCCAATTTTGGTAGAGCCGTGAGCCTTCCCTTGCCTTGCCACTGGCTTCTTCTCCTTGCAGCTTTGGTTCCTTGCTTGCAAATTCTGGTATGATGGCCACTTTTTTAAGCCCTAAATTAGCCATTTAATTAATGCCTTGTGTGTGTCCGAATTGTGCCAGAAATGGGGAGGAATTCCGGTAGTATTTTAAATGTGTTTTAAGCTTGATTAAGTAGAATTTAGCTTGAATTGGCTGCTGTGATGTTTTGTGTGAAAATCCCGTGAGATTAGCTGTGGTTTTGCTAATTTTTGGAAGTGGCAGTATTGTTCACGGCGTGAGCACTGTTCACGGCATGAGCACTGTTCACGGGGCACTGTTCATAGATTACTGTTCACACACCGAGGGTTAACAATTAACGGGGATTTAAAGGTTTAGTTTGTGATATAAGAATGAATTTGGAGATGTTCGGTTATGTGGAGATTGATAGAAATAGCACTGTGATTAGGGATAGTGCTAATGATGATTTTACTGTGAATTTGTGGTTGTGCGATATTAATTGTGGAATATTGTGATTAGGTTTTGATCGTTCTGTCACCGTAGCACTTGGGTTAGCCTTCTGTTCTGTGCGAGTGAGGTAAGTAAATTATGGTAAAGGCCCTTCGATTTTAAAGCATGTTTTAAACTGTTTTTGAGATGGTGGCAAGGTTTAAGTTGATTTTTAATTGATTTTATCTGCATCTGAGTGTGATT